GGTCCTGTTTGACCAACCTGATCTCCTTCTATGATCTAGTGACCCATCTGGTGGATGAGGGAAAGGCTGTTGATGTGGTCTACCTAGACTTCAGCAAAGCCTTTGACACTGTCTCCCACAGCATTCTCCTGCAGAAGCTGGCAGCCCGAGGCTTGGATGGGTACACTCTTGGCTGGGTAAGGAGTTGGTTGGAGGGCCGGGCACAGAGAGTGGTGGTGAATGGAGTCAAATCCAGCTGGCGACCAGTCGTGAGTGGTGTTCCCCAGGGGTCGGTGCTGGGGCCTGTCCTCTTCAATATTTTTATCGATGACCTCGATGAGGGCATCGAGTGCACCCTCAGTAAATTCGCAGATGACACCAAATTGGCTGGAAGTGTGGATCTGCCTGGGGGTAGCGAGGCCCTACAGAGGGATCTGGACAGGCTGGAGAGCTGGGCTGAAGCCAATGGGATGAGTTTCAACAAGGCCAAATGCCGGGTCCTGCAGTTCGGCCACAACAACCCCAGGCGACGCTACAGGCTTGGGGCAGAGTGGCTGGAGGACTGCGTAGAGGAAATGGACCTGGGGGTATTGATTGATGCTCGGCTGAACATGAGCCAACAGTGTGCCCAGGTGGCCAAGAAGGCCAATGGCATCCTGGCTTGCATCAGAAACGGTGTTGCAAGCAGGAGCAGAGAGGTGATTGTTCCCCTATATTCAGCACTGGTGAGGCTGCACCTCGAGTACTGTGTCCAGTTTTGGGCCCCTCACTGCAAGAAAGATATTGAGGCCCTGGAACGTGTTCAAAGGAGGGCAACAAAGCTGGTGAGGGGTCTGGAACACAGGCCATATGAGGAGAGGCTGAAGGAGCTGGGAATGTTCAGCCTGGAGAAGAGGAGGCTCAGGGGAGACCTCATTGCTCTCTATAACTTCCTGAAGGGAGGTTGTAGTGAGCTGGGGGTCGGCCTCTTCTCTCGTGTCATTAGTGATAGGACCAGGGGGAATGGCTTCAAGCTACGGCAGGGGAGATTCAGGCTGGACATTAGGAAGTATTACTTTTCAGAAAGGGTGGTCAGGCACCTGGAATGGACTGCCCAGGGAGGTGGTGGAGTCACCGACCCTGGGGGTGTTCAAGGAAAGGCTGGATGTTGTGTTGAGGGACATGGTTTAGTAGGAGCTATTGGGAGTAGGTGAACGGTTGGACTGGGTGATCTTTTAGGTCTTTTCCAACCTTGGTGATTCTATGATTCTATGATTCTAATAGAAAGTGGGAAATTGTTCATTAGGATAAAAAGTGAAGAAAGTGTAAAATGCTGCCTAAATGGAATATGGCAACAAAATAAATTTGTGCTATTGAACCAACAAACATTCTGACAAAAACTTAGCAAGCATTGTCAGTGGAGAGTGGGATTAGATTGTCATCACTGAATAGTGCTGAGGGAGTAGAGTAAAAGAAATGAAAATCAATAGTATGAAGTACAAGATCATGCATCTTGATACTGCAGTAAGAGCTCTGGTCAGGAAAGAAATTTTTTTATCTAAAGATAATCAGATAAGGTATTTTCAGTACTAATATTAATGGAAACGTTAAAAGGACTGGTAAGCCATCACCTGAAATGTGGAGAGATTTTAAAACAGAAGCTTTTGGAATACCCACAGTACTAAAAAAATTGAATCAAGAGAGGAAACTTGAAGAACACAGTTTTTTTAACCCTGAAAAGTGAGGAAGGCTAGAAGGATATAAGGAGTCTTTTTAAAGCAAGGATAAGGAAACTCAGAGCGTATAAATGACCAAGTCTTCAGGCACATATAGACTGTATTTCAACAGACCGCTTGGTTTTGTGTGCTCACCAACACTGAAAACTCCGTTCTTTCACTTAAGTTCAGAATTATTATGAGTTATACACTTCAGTTTGGCTTGGATTTACATCTGAATCTCCTCAGCAGTAGGAGTAAATGTAGGTTGTTTTTTTTTTTTTTCCTCTTCTGCCATCCTATTACACTCTCGACTTTATACCGTATTTTCTAGATGAGCACGGACAAATGTTATAGATATTTCAGGTGATCTTTAGAAGAGCTGCTTGGATTCTCAGTTTTGATTTTTCATCTGTTTTCACTAAATTGAAAGTTGCTGAAACTTTCAGTAATTCCAAAAGAATACCAATATATTGAGATTTAGTTTCTGTTTGAGACTGTCTACAGAAATATGGTCTTAAAGGAAAATATATCTAGTAGATGTGTATTGCAGAAATGATAAGAATGCTGAAATTTCATACTCAGGAACAACCTAAGACGAGAAGAAAAAACCCCAACCAACTATAGAACAAAACAGACAGTGTGAAGATTCTTGATGAAATACATAACTGTTCGAGATAAAAAAAACAAACACAAAAGCAACAGAAGTAACAAGTTATTTTTTTAAAAAAGGCTTTGCTGAAAACAAGAATTTGAAAATTTCAATGCTTAGTCACTGATTTTTAATATGGCTTGCAAATCAGCTCTAGGCAGTGATTTTTTTTATTTTATTTTATTTTTTTATCTGGCAAAAAGCAAGTAGGACTTTCTCAGCTGCTACCTACATTTTTTCTTTTTAAACTTGTGTGTTTTCTTGCTCTGATCATTCTGACACTTTGTAAGTATTTTAATTTTATGCACATTTAAGACAAGACAAACTATGTTGTAAAGATACTGAACTTGATAATATATACGTCGTGTTTAATATTAATTATGTGTTTCCTAGGAGCTTTCTAATTAATTTTTTTTAATTTATTTTCTTAAACTTGTGTTCACCTACCCTCAAATGCTTAAGACAGCAGAGGTATGACTTTATATTAAAATCAATATTGATTTTGAAACCTATCAAGACATGAAGCACATCTTCAGTAAGCACTGTCAACTTCTAATTTTAACTCTACTTCTCTAACAAAGCAGTTTCTTAACTGCTAAAGCTAAATGATCTATCTAGTGATGATTTGAGTTCACCAAATCACTCCCTGAAAATCTGCCAAGCCTGACATAAAATTGGAAAACTGTGATTTTGAGTAAACAGAGGGTTTTTAAAATTATGGTTATAAACTGAACTGAGTTATAAATTATAATATGAAGATACACCTATATCCCCTTTACTTTTTAGAAACAGTGATTGTATAGAAATTACTTTTTTTACACTGCATTAGCATTTTCACCGTTACCATTGATCATTTTATACTTGTGTTAACCTTTCTGTTATGAATGGAATTGTAGTTGCTATGCAACATTTTAATCCAGTCATTTGGTGATTCTTGGCAGAATTTTGTGAAAGATGTGTTCAGTGAGTGCATCTCATGTTTTCTATCGCATATCTCTATGCAGAAGGAAATCACGGATCCATTACAGATCCTATTGACATCATAGGGCCAGAAACTTTTTCTAGGGATTTTGTAGGTGAAGGTAATTTTATCTTTGTAGGAACAGTATATTTTGAATGAAATAGCTGATAAAAAAATAAATTGCATCACAGAATCACAGAACTGCAGAGGGTGGAAGTGACCTCTGGAGTACATCTAGTCCAACCCTTCTGCTAAAGAAAGTTTGCTACGGTAGGTTACACAGGAAAGCATACAGGCAGGTCTTGAATATTTCCAAAAAAGGAGACTCCACAACCTCACTGGGCAGCCTGTTCCAGTGCTTTGTCACTCTCACAATACAGAAGTTCTGTCTTATATTCATATGGAACTTCTTGTGTTGCAGTTTGTGCCCATTGGTCCTTGTTCTGTTGCCATTAGATATTTATAAGCTTTGACAAGATCTCCTTGTAGTCTTCTCTTCTACAGGCTAAAGATCTATCGCGTTTCCTTGTAAGAGAGATGCTCCAGGCCATAATGATCTTTGTAGCCCTCTGCTGGACTCTTTGGTAGTTCCCTGTCATTCTTGAACTGGGGAGCCCAGAACTGGACACAGTACCCCAGATGTGGCCTCACCAGGGTGGAATAGAGAGGGAGGATCATGTCCCTTGTCCTGATGGCAACATTCTTTTTACTGCACCCCAGGATACCATTGGCCTGAATGGCCTAAAGGCTGGCTCTCATGGTCAACCTGTTGTGCACCAGGACACCAAAGTCCTTCTCTGCTTAACTCCTTTAGAGCAGGTCGTCCCCATACCTGTACTGATGCATGCAGTTATTTCTCTCTAGGTGCAGAACTCTACACTTGCCCTTGTTGAACCACATTAGCTTCCTCTCTGCCCAACTCTCTAGTTTGTCTAGGTGTCGTTGAATGGAAGCAGAGCCTTCTGGTATGCCAGCAACACCTCTCCATTTTGTATCATCAGTGTTCCCTGCATTCTTCCAAATGATTGGAAGTTGCATTCCTCTTTTTTTCTGGTAAGAAATTTTGCAGTTTTCTGCATCCTGTTATAGATCCTGTTATTTCCTTTCTGCTCTTTTTTTTCTCTTAAGTCTGTGTATTGCTTCACCTCATCTCAGTGTCTGTACTTCTCTCCGGTCTGCTTGAAAGGCATGTTGACTTTACAAATTCTGTTGTGTTTCTTAATAGGCATTATGCTTTCAAACTAGGGAGCTGGATCTTAGGTTTCGTGCATCAGTGTTCAGTAACCTGTTTTTTTTGTTTTGAGGGTCTTACATTCTTCATGATCTATCATAGAAATTTTATTATTTTCTGTTTTAACAGATTGTTGTTTAAGCAAGCTTTGTGATTCTTGGAGTTGCTTTAAAGCTGCCTATGGGTAATCAGAAGACAGACTGGTATAGATATATCTCAGGCTATTTAAAACTGGCTGTGCTATACCTTAGTCATAAGAATAAAGCAAAATGCAACATTCAAACAATATTCTAATCAGAACAAGGCAACTATATAAGTAGGGAAACTGAGCATTGTAATTTCCTCATCATGCGTTGTAATTTGGTCACTGCTTTTATTTCAAAATTGAAAATGCAGTATGCTGTTTTGGATAAGATTTTAACTGAGAAATTTTACAGTGTTTCTTGTTTAAGGTGTTGACAGAGTTAATGTACTGTGTTTTAGTCTCAGCAGAAAACCTGGAGAAGAGCCTGAAGCATATGGAAAAGCAACTCCAACAGCTTGAGAAGGATTTGAAGACATTTCCAGTTGCTGAAGATAAGCATGATAAGTTTGTAGCAAAAATGTCCATATCCTTTGGAGTATTCTTTAAAAAAACACATACAAATAGTTTGATTGCAATAACTCAAACTTTAAATTTATCTAGCTTCAGTTTGTAGCATATATTGTTGAAAAAAAAAATCTTTTCTCTTAAAAGCTAAGTACATGAACAGCCTTATTAATGGAGTCATCTGTAGTGAATGGAATTGGGGGAAAAATGCTGTTAGGTTTAACTCTGTATGTAGGTGTCTTACTGGGTGATTTTTCTCATAAGAGTATATTAGAGGAAGATGTGCATCACTCTGTATTTGTTCTTTAGTGTATGAATTACAGTTCAGAATAAGTTTGGTAGATGCAACAATTACAACAAAAAATTTCTCCTATTGCTTAAATGAAATTTACCTTCTGACTATTCCAAGCCCTCCACCCAACTGAACTGCCTGTCTCCCTCATATGTGACAGGAAGATATTTAATCAAAGTCAAGGAAATTGTTCTCTAGCTTAAACCTCTCTACTGACCATTGGCCATGGAGAATATCCAAGGAGCAGAAATATCAACATGCATAGAGAGAAAAGTTGAAATTCCCTTACTAGGCATAGTTAGTTTATTATCTAACTGGAAGTCTACTTTGCTATGTATAAAGACAGGAGGACTCAGGAGACAGTTATTCATTGCTCTTGATTAATCTAACTCTATTAAATAAAGGACAGCAAGAGAACCTAAAGGTAAGTGGCTCTTATCACTGCTGCATTAGGGCCAATTTCCTCTTCAGAAGACTAGCTGCAACCAAATCATATATAACTTGGCTTTAGGCCTTTCTCTGGACTCTGTAGTATCTGTAACCTTCCAGTGTTACCACTAATCTTTTCTGTTGTGGTTTATTTTGTTGGTGAAGCTATTCTTTGTTATTGTTCTTGTTGCTGTTGTTAGTGACTTTCTTTTCCAACTCAGTGTGGTTTTGAGAGATTTGTTGAAACTCACTTGCACGGTGTCTCTATAGTGTGAAATGTTTTTGCATCTGAAGAAGCCAGTGGTATAGAAGAGAACTTGGAGAGTTCTAAATTTCCTCCATAAAAAAAAAAAGATATAAAAGAAGTTAACAAAAATCATTTGGGATTGAGTGAAGAATAGCCTGAAGATATAGGTTTCACTTAAGAAGGAGAGCAGAGAGCAGTGAAGAGAAATAAATCTGTGCTAATGTCCAACATCTGAAATTCCAAAAATGACTAAGTTGAATGCCTAATTTCCTTTTGTGTTACTGACACATTAGGCATTTCTGGAACTTGATGGCAGAAAGTTAGTGGAATACTTTCATAGAAGGTTATAAATTGCATTTGAGACAGAATAGGTCACAGTTGTAAAACAATAGTGTAAGAAGTTAAAATATGATATTCAGATAGGTAAATGGGTGGACCTTGTCAGTAAATGCCATAACTTTTCTCAGAGTTAAAATTCCATCCCCATATATGAAGACTATTAGAGCAATTTACTGAGCTCTTAGAAAGGATATTGATCATCTCAGGAAAGGAAGAAATGTCCTTTTCAAGCATTTCAGAAGCAGTACTTCAGCAATACTGCTGAAGATTTAGATTATCATTGTATGTCATGAAGATAAGCCATAACCAAAAAGTTAAATTAGTTGTTTGCAAGGGTTGTCTCGGAGAGATCTTTGATTGAACCAACTGTGCAATACTTTGTATGAAGGGATGATCTCAGCTGAACTTTTTAGGAGTTTCATTAAAATAAAATAATAAATTAAATAGCAATAAATCCCCAGACTTGAAAAGATTTAAAAATAAACTCAAGTATTTACCCTTTGGATGACATGTTCTTACATGAACTAAGGTAGTGTTAGACACTAGAAAAATTGGAGTTGAAAAGATATTCTCTTTTAAGATGGCTGCAAGGAGAAACTGAGCTGCGTAGCTGTAAATCTGGTTTCTGTGCCAAGAAAAACTGATTTAGACTAAATAAAAAGATCATATATATGGGCTCAGCCTATATACATATCTATATATGTATGTATATATAGTATGTATGTATATATGTATGTGGGTGTGTATATATATATATATATACACATATATGCAAGATACACTATTAAGTGACATGGATATTGTGGTGGGTTTTATTGTTAGCTTGTTTGTTTAAGGAGAAACCATTCCTTGCAGAGCACAAATTATGCCAAGACATTCAGTAGAGCATAACTGAATATCCATGCATCTTTCAACAAGATGGGTTAACAAAGTCTTCCAAGAAAACAGATTTTTTTAAGAGAATAGTAGAATGACTACTTATTCTGGAATAATATATAGTTAAAAAATAAAATTGAAAAACTCATGCCAAAAAGCAGCTACTAGTAGGTACTAACAGAAAGGCAAGTGCATTTCAGTGACTATGAAATAGTACATCTAGAAGAAGAATGTTAGGAGCTCTTGAGAACAACTGTAGTTAAAAACAATCAGAAAGCAGAAATAAGTTGCTGTAAAAATCAGTAATAGTCTTACATCTTGAGTACTTCCATCACCCCATCTCTAAAAGCATATTGTACACCTATTGATGTGGTAGAGAATGGTGACAACAGTGATCAACAGAAAGCAATAATTTCAGCAAGGAGGATGTTTAAATAGATTAGGACTCTGAAGCTGGAAAATTAAATGAGAATTAGTAAAGATACTTGTAAATTTATCTACCATGCAACAGGAAAGTTAGGAAGGTGTTCATTATTTCTTGTAAATAATTAGGAATAAAATCCTACTTCAGAGATGATAACATACTAACAGGAATGTTTACTCATGCAGAACACAAACTGCAGCATTTACTTTTAAGATGTTGTAGAGGTTGACAGCGTAGATGAATTTCCTTTAAGGTTTAGATAGTCAGCTAAAGATACTGTGTCTGGAGCTTAAATACATTAGTCCTGAGGTAGTTTTAGCTCATAAAAATCAGTAACCTGCAGATTCTTAGAAGCTAAATACTACATAAGTTGACTTACCATGCTACACTTTTTCTATTTCATTCTTGTTTTCTCCAATCACTGGGTATTGATTGCTGTCAGAAACAGGTGAGATGAATATTTTATCATAGTCAGAATAAATCAGTGCAAGTAAAACCAGCTACACTACGTATTTTGTTATGTTAGGCTATTCAAACAGTATTTTGAACAGAACATATTAGGAACGGGAATAGTTTGCCTTCACCTACTACTTCTCCCAGTACAGAGGCAATAATTTCAGAACCGTTAAGTTGCATTTGGTTTCTAGTAATTTCAGTGAACACACTAATTAAAGAAGCTCACTCTTAGAAAAGTAGGAGCTTCAATAAATTACGAAGCAAAAAAGGTTTGATGGAAAGGTTAGATAATCCTGCACAGCATGATGAAGCCTGGACGTGTCTTGACTTTTATTCCTATGACAAGGAAAGCTGAATGATGCTGAAGTCTTGAAAGGCATGCAGCTCATAAAGAGAAACCAGTAGGAAATCTGAAAAAGGAAGGATGGTGCTTTGTTGGTAATAATTTTTCATCTTGAGTACAATTAGGCTTCATGGACAAGCAGGCTATTACATCCTGTCACAAATATCACAACCCAAAGGTCCCTAATGAACTGATTAGCATTCTTGTTTCTTCAGGAAGTCAGATATATGCACAGTTGGTGCACCCTTTTATTGACAAAGTCTATAATTATTAATATTTCTCTTATACATTAAATTGTGCTAGTTTGTCAGTGATCTTATGTATACTAGCTGAGCAGAAATTACAGTCATTATTGTAGTTCATTTGTTTGCTTTAATTAGGACAGTCAAATAATATTGAATTGATATTGATTTATAGTATTAAATTCATTCAGTGTAATGTTCAAGAAAAAGCACAGTGAACAAAATGCATTTGTATGTTCAAAATAAAAATTTAGTGGGTTTATGAAGAGAATTTAAATTACATGTTGAAAGCTTAATTAAGTAGTTAATCAACATCTTCTGTATCAGTCTAGCTCACATCTAATGATTTTCTAAGGAGCAGTTGAGAAACTCTTGACAAATTTTATCCTGTTTAACCACTGAATGTATTTATAAAGGTGATTTTCACACAAGTTTATGCAACTAATACTTGAGAGACAGTAAGTTAGTTGATACCTTTCAGCTAGGAATACAGTCTTTTTTTTTTTTTTTGATCAATCCTCTGTTCCTTTTTCCTTGTGGTTTAAGTGAATTTGTTAAGAGAAGGAAAGAATTGAACTTAGCCTGATTCAAGTGAGGTATAAGAAACCCAATTCTGTACATTGCCTCTAAACTATTGGTTATTCAACCAGCCGTATAGTTGGAAATTTCTTCTGTACGGTGTGAAGAAATAAGACATCCTAGGATCCTAAAGGATTTTCAAGATTACAAGACCAGAGCTGGTCAAATGAAAAAGGACTGCATGTCACTCTTTCAGAAAGGATCAAGATGTTGACTATGTGGGCATGTAATTAATAGGGTTTGGGCAAACAATGTAAATTTAACTTGAATTATGTAATTCTTTTATATATTTTCTATCTGGTCTGGACCTCAGACTCATTAACACTGGTTTTGTTCATAAATACAAGGGATATACACACTATGGTACAAATGTATGTCAATTTTTTTTTAGTATTATATTTAATATAGAGGTAAGATTGAGTGAGTAAGTCAAGGAAAAGGAATTATTAGACAAACACTCTTCAGAAGATACTAATTTAAAAATTTAAACATTAGAGTGTCTTTTTTGAACTACTGTATTCAGAGAAGAAATTTTACTGTCGATCCTTGCTGTGTACATAAAATGAAGTCTCTGTGACATGTGTTTTTCAGATAATCGCAACTATTTCCCCAAGAGCTTCATGTGGGAAATTCTCACTGGAGCCCTGCATAATTTGTACCCTCTGGCCTTAAAATAAATAAACAAATAAAATTAAAAAATTGTTCGTTGAAATCCTGGTTTGGAGTGACCTCAATCTATTTACACCAGTCTTTGAAAAATTTGCTGTGTTTTTACAGAGACTGTTGCTGGCTTATATAATGACAGTCTCAGTTCCATTTTGAAGATTCTGTTGAAATACATACAGCATCTGTGCACTTATTAATCTTTTGTACTTATGCAGGATCAGATTCCTTTTTGAATTGCCTATGTTTAATACATGGGTTAGTTTGTCAGAATGTCACATGCAATGAATGTAAGGTCTTCTGAGAAAATGTTTGGAGTACAAACGTAATTTGTTATCTACTGTAGAGTAACAGCTGATTTTACGTCTTGATACACTCCACTATATTAGTATTTTACATAGCACAATATATTAAAATCAATACAGTTTTAAGACAAGCAGTCCACTATAAAAAAAGCTGCCATGAATATGCAAGACCAAATATATAGTATATGGAAATTCCACAACAGATACTACTCATTTCAGCCCCGCATTGCTTTTCTGTTCCAATAATGAGCAGAATGCTGATCTGTAGTCCCATGAGTTCAAAAAGGCTGTCCATGAAGTGAAGCCATTTCAGAAAAAGTTAACAAATAACTAACTTCTTGATTTGCTTTTCCTCCCACCTGTGTTGCAGCTTTGCTGTACTTCTGTTTTCATTCATCCAAAGCCAATGAATCGTGTAGCTGATAATGCACATATATCAACCTGTTCATAATAATTACAGTTGGGATTGCCGTGCTCAGTAGTATTCCCTGTTGCCTCCAGTTTAGCTAGTACTGGCTAACAAAAGCTGTATTTAAGGAAAAAAGGAAGAGGACTTATTAAAAGTAGCTAAATTGAAGCACAGTCTCAGTAGAATGCCAGGAGCTTAGGGTATCCCATAGCATACCAAACAGAAAATAAAAATCTCAGAATTCTCTGTCTGGGAATGAAATACTGCATAGTAGCACATCTTTCCAGAATGCTGCATTTTGAGTTTAAAATTTTGCACCATGTATTTGAGAGGACTCAGTTCCAACAGTTTAATATAAACATTATATAGACACTATTAGCATAGTTGTAACTGTACTTACATCTTGTAGAATATCACAGATCTTCTCAAAAGTTTCCTTTTTAGTGTATACTGGCTTATCATTCATTTACAACATTAAATATACATTTTATTTATATTTTTAGCTTTTGTAAGATTTTTTTTTTTTCCTTCCTAGAATGCTGAAGAAAGTTACTGGCAGGTTTGATAAATGGCATTTATACCTATTGTCAAAAAAAAAAACAATTTACCTGGTTTTCCTTTAGCATTCCAAGCTATGGAAATAAACAAGCTCAAAAATGCAATAGATAGTTATTTCTATCTAAGTTCTGTTGGTGATATAAGATTTATAGACAAATATAGTATGAAAAATGATTAAGATGCAAAAACATTTTCCTTGGCTTAACGTTAATTTTTGTTTCCTACTGTGGCAGCTTTTTTTTCTTTCCTGAACTGCTGACATTTCTTTAGGTGGTCCTAATGTGTATTTGTGCTATGCTTTGTTATTCATAATTCCTTTTTTTTTTCTTTACTTAATATTTGGGCAGCTGTTCCATACTGATCTCTCATCCACTTTCCCTGCTATCCCACCAGTAAGTTTTGTGCATGTTGGGGAATAAGTAAAAGAATGTTTTAAAACTAAGTATAACAAACTATAAAGACGTCTTATAGTGAAGATCAAATGGGATTTGGTCTCTAAGCTAAACAAGTACATGGTATAAAATTTGAAGAGTAAAAATAATCACCCAGTAGTGAGTTGTTCCTATCAATTTGAAATAGCAGAGATAACAAAAATTCTATTTCTTTGTTTTTAATTCACCTAATTAAAAATCCCATTCTTCATAAAAATAAAATGGTAAATAATGTATGTATTTGTGATATAAAATAGTTAATTGTCTTTTATAGTAATTGCAGTGGGTAGTGGGAGAAAAGGTGAAGTTGTCATTTTTTGTCTTTTACATTCTTTTCAGGAGCATGAAGAGAACATAAATATTTGTTTAGTTGCTTTTCCATTTATGTAAATACTTATGAAATCGTCCCACAGACCAACATGCAGTATTTCTTCTTTGAGCTTTACAAAGCCATGAATAAACAGTTATTTTTTATTTGATTCCATTTGCTATGCAGTATTTTGGTGCTTTTTATAAGTTGCCTATCTTTTTTGGGAGTAGTTCTGTTGTTCTCACCTCTAATTTAATTAAATTGTATTTGCATTGTAAATAGCCTTGGAAAGCATAAATTTCTGATGCAGTCACTAGAAATAAAATCGGAAGCAATACTGTTGCTATATTAACATTCTAGAGAGCTGTTAGGATGAGGGTTTTTTCTCTTATATTTATTATTTTTAATACTGTTGTTTGCTGACATTTCTATTTTTACTGTATTTGAAGTAATAATTACAGTATTTCTTGATATGTTAAAGTATTCCAGTTAGTTACTGATATCTAAATTTCACTTTGTTTTTATATATGTGACAGAATGGCATGCATTTTAGTGAAGTTAGCTACTGGTTCTAAATCAAATTATATAATTTATATATTTTTAAATGAGTATATTTTAGAAATATATTCTAATTTACTTAACTAAATTACATGTTTGACCTTAAAGATAATTGTGCATATGTTCTTAAATGAACTCAGTACTCTTGCAGCCTTAACAGCAGCATACAGCTTTCTAATTCATGCCAAAGAAGATTTTCAGAAACTTTCAGGGATGCATGAGAACATGGAAAAACTGTATCAGAATGTGATGAGGTATTTTGCAATCGATCTGAAGAAAGTTTCAGTGGAGGAGTTTTTGACCGACTTAAACAACTTCAGGATGATGTTCATGGTATGGTTTGTTTATTTATTCCCTAACATTTCTTAAAAATTACTTTTGTAGTCTTCAAATTCCTGAACAAAATAAAATAATTTTCTTCTGCCTCAAAAAGCATCTGATGCACATTACAGAAACTTTTTTTGTTCCTCCTAAATTCTGCTAAGTTACGATAATTAGATTTTGAGTTATTATTTTTGGATTATTTCTTTTTGAAAGAAATGGAAATTCTTTACAACGATGAATGTAATTTAAAACTGAACATCTTATGTTTATTTATAATCTGAATAGGAAAAGTATGAAACTCCACTTTTCTTAAAACTGCTTTTTCTTTTTAAAGGATGCTTGTTAGTTATTTAAAAATAAAAAATAGCTGTCATTCTATGTATTCTTTTCCTATACAAAATCCAAATCCAGAACTTTATTTTATTTAATGATAATGTTCTCTGAGAGTTTGTTTTTTATGCATTTTTAAATCTTTCTTATCTCGCCTTTTAAAGAGATGATCTTTTGGGGAGAAGTAGCAAAGAACTATTTTATGGTTTTTAATGTCTTTATTATCTGTGAGAAACAGCCATTAGACTGATGCAGGTTATTTTTAGATAGCTTTTCATGTATAAAGCTCAATACATTGTCAAAAGCATAATTCTAACTCACTTTCAGTTAGTAGATGTTTGCTTTAGAGTTATCTAAAATAGTCATAAATTGAGGCTAGTTCAATATTTCTTATGTCACAGGCCATCATCCTGCGACCATTATATATAAACATATATATAAACTTTCACAACTAGTGCAATAACAGCTCAGCATAAAGGTTTAAAGTTTTTTGGAAATATAAATTTTTCTTTAGATATTTTTTTGAGTCCCGACATATTTTCATTATGTTTACAAATACTAATAATAAGCATTATTTAATCTCAACGTGGTGTTCTTATTATTCTTTGTTCCACCAAAATATGATTTAAGAAGTTTTAACAAGTTTTCCTTCTTAAAAGTGAAGTAGAAATTTCTCAAACAGTATTTCTTTAAACATTTTTTTAGAGTTTTATAGGAGCTCACTATATATGGCTACAAACAACTGTCTTGGCAAATTTCAGGATAATCAGCTGTTCTCCAAAAGATATTGCAAGTTCTTTTATCATTGCCAGTATACTTCTTCTGTAAGAAGGATGATTAATTTGATGCACTTCAGAATACATAAACAAGACTGGCATAACCCTCAATTTCAAATACCAAAGCAAATTTACGAAAGTCTGAAAGTTCTTTTTTGGAGCTCCTGTTTAGGCTTAGTGAGGATCATTGTCTTGGTTATTTATAATTATGCTCAGATTGGTAAGGTTGTGGGGGCCAGGGACAGTTTGTTGATTTTCTGTGGTTTTTGTGGTCATTGTTTCTTTTGTTTGTGGCTAATTCTGATTACATGGCCTAATTTGTAAGCTATGCTCCTGCAGGAAGGAAATCTTAGAATCAGCTTTGTGATGTAGACTGGTGCAGTGATTAAACTCTTCTGTTGACCTGTTGAAAGATTCAGGTGCTCATTCTGCCATCTTCATTTTGCAGCCTAACACTTATCATTACAATATATTTAGGTTGCTCCTGTGTTTCCCAGTTTTGTTTATTTGTTGTTGTTATTTTTTAATGTTTTCAGACTTGTCAGAGAGTATAGTCAGGAAAAATACTCCTGTATATACTGAAACTTGGGTGAAATTCCTTTGCCCTTCTGTTTTGAGGAAAGTACTTAAAATGGAACCCATATTTAGCAGAGGTATCAGGATGTATAAAGATTATCGAAGCTCTGCTGCTTCAGAATTCAATGACTAAAATTCTAGAAGGTGCCGTCTTCAATTAAAATAATTTTGCTCAGCTAGCTACATGTTGCATGACATTCAACAAAGGTAAGTGCTGGATCTGGGTCCCATGCAGTGACATAGAATTTGGGAATAGTGGCTAAAAACTTTCCCATCAGAAAAGGGCCAGGAGGTTCTGGTTGGCAACTGGCTGAACACGAGCCAGCAGGATGCCTAGGTGATCAAGAAGGCCGATCACATCCTGGTCTAAGTGTCCATCCTCATGTATGCAGCACTGCTGAGCCATGCCTCGTATCCTGTATTCAGTTTTGAACCCCTCACCACAAGAAAAATACTGAGTTGCTCAAGTGCATGCAGAGGAGAGTGACAAAGCTGGCTGAAGGAACTAGGAAAGAGGTGTTCCAAGGAACAACTGAAGGAATTGGGGTTGTTTAGTCTGGAGAGGAGGAAGCTGAGGGGAAACTTCATCACTCTGTAACTATCTGAAAAGAGATAACAGCAAAGAGGGTCTCTTTTCTAAGGTTACAAGTGGTAGCAGTGAAGATACTGACTTACGATGTGCCAGGAAATGTTTAGATTGGGTACTAGGAAGAATTTCTTCCTGGAGACGGTAATCAAGCTTTAGAATAAGTTGTGCAGAAAAATGGTGGAGCCACATCTCTTAAATGGAGGTATTTAAGAGATGTGTAGACATGGCACTAAAAGACATTATTTAGGTAGGTTAGGTTGATTGTTGAACTTCATGGTCTTGAAGGTCTTTTCCAAATGATTCGGTGATTCTGTATGCCTGACTTCTCAAACACACACACCAGTTATATTTTCCAAACTGTTGCTAATTTGAAACCCAGGAAACCTATTTCAAAAATTCAAAATGTTATGAAATAGTTATATTAATTTAATAGTAAAATTATAGTTTTTAACCCACATCTTCTATTTAAATCCTGTAGAATAAGAATTCTAAGTGCTCAGATTCATCTTGAACTGGAGATACAAAGTAGTGGTTGTCCTTTATCTTAATTTCCCTATAGTTGCTTTCCATAAAACTAGCACAGATACTAAGAACCTGCTTCACAGCTGTGTTATAAAGATAGATTCATTAATGCTTTGAAACAGTTAGTTGTTATTGATGAGCATGATAGAAGAAACCTTGAGGAAAATTAATAATTCTGTCTTGCAGAGCACAATTTGAAGGCTATATGAAGAAGGTGTGTAGATAAGGCATGAAACCACTTATCATTCAATGACACTAAACAAAATATTGAGTAGTTGCTTGGGTTTTAGTCTATTCAGAAAAGATTTTTAGGATGCCTAGTGTGACACACCTGAGGCCTAATTTTCAGAATTGTTTAGAATTGGTTTTGATTACTGACACAAGTGAAAGATGTTTGGAAAACTTAGCTAAAAAGATGTTTAAACTTAGTGCTATACCATTATTGGATTCTTAAATAGTCTAAAACAAAAATACAGCTTTAGTCATTGCTATGCATGAGAACATTAAGTTATGTCATCTCTGTTGTTCAGCAAAGCTGACAATTTAAATACATTTTTATTCACTTAGGATACTTCTGTATTTTTCGTTAATGAAAACTAAGCAGTTTAAAATCTGGAGCCATAGTTTACAAGTTAATAGCTAATACTGGAATGCACTTTATACTTCAGTGTTATCTGTTAGCTGTAGCAACTAACATTAGCACTCTGTGACTACCAAATCTAGTGCATATTTGGTTGGCTGAATCCAAAATACGGGTGAAGCACCTTACCTTCAGTGCTGTAATGCCTGCAGATAAGTTCCCAATACACTTACTGCAGCATCTTATTTATCTGAAATGTCTGTTCACCTGTGCTTTCATACTGCTGGATGTACTGCTAGTAGGCTCACTCCTTCCCTTGAGAAAAACAGCTTTTTGAAATAATGTGAAGCAATTGTAATATTTTTCCTCCTTATTTTTCTCTAATGGTTAGAATTTTCCTGCAGTAGTGTGTTTTGGAGAAAGCAAAAGGTTTTTTGAATCAGCAACTTTTAAGTGCAACACAGCATAGTAATCGCAGAACTACAGAAATCCCTTGCTCCTATTGCTACTAGATTGTTTTGCAGCAGAAATGACAGAAAAGTTTGAATCAGTGCTATAGTAAAAGCATACACACAGAAGAAGACATTAACATTTGTTTCCTAGACTCTAGAGCATTTATCTTCTGCATTATATAAATATTTAAAAATCACAAATGATCCAGGAAAGCACAGCAGTGAACCCAAGAATACCTCCATCCCAGAAACTGTAAGCCTTGGCATGTTATGCAAAATAAATCTACTTCTGTAACCCTTCTGAACAATATCTTTGTGTACTGTGTTGGTATATAGTAGATGTGGTCAGACTGTGTGAAGTGTTTTAGCCTTTTTGAGCAATCTAATATTAAGACATCTAGCTTTTGAAATGCAAATGGCATGAGACGTAGAACAATTAGGGTATTAGGGTATTATTTAGAACATTTTAGGATTTGATTACAGGAGATAGGCTTCTAAATGTATGCATCTGCATCTTGTCTGATCTGATGGCATGTGGTCAGTTTTTCTTTAATTTTGTTGCTTTCAAAGGAGCTCTGTCACCTCAGCTCTGTCAAGCACTATGTCTTGGAGTGGTGTCTCAAATGGTGTTTGAGGCATCATCAGTCTGAAATTCTAAGTTAAGTCAAAGGACTTGTGGGAGGCTGTTGTCCTACTGAGGGAGAGGCTGAAAGCAGGATGTGATGCTCCAGAGCAACCAGTGTGCACTGGATATGAAGGTGTGAGCTACTAAATTAAGTCCCGTCGATCATTTTAATTAGAAAGGAATACATACCTAAATTTGCATTGTTACAAGCTGAGTTCCACTGATATTATTTTGGGGAAAAAATGTTGATGTGAAGTAGAATTTTCTTTGATTGCTCCGTTAGTCAACTACGTAATTCCTTTCTATAAAGTCCCTTTACAGAGTTTTGCTGTCTAGTTTATTTTATTGAGTGCTCAGTCTGAAAATCCGCAAATAATTTGTTAAAATTAATTCAATCTAGAACTTCAGCATTCTTTAGTAGGTTTCTCCCCATCACCCCTGTCAAGAAAATTGACAGGGGTGACCCTAGAGAAGATACTGGGGAAGTAAAGTTTTGCTGTATTTTTTAAAAAATGCTTTCATTTCAAAGTAATTTTTCATGATTGAAAGCTTTCAAATTTCAGTTTTCAAGGAGGAGCATTTTCTTATAAAATCCATGTACATTTTTTCATTGTAAGAGAATAACAGAATGGCTGGGTTGGAAGGGACCACAAGGATCATGAATTCCTACCCCGCCTCCTTCCCCACCACATGCAGGGCCACCAACCTCCCCATTTAATGCTAGACCAGGCTGCCTAGACCTTGCTGTGTGGAGCCTCATTAGATTCACCCAGGCCTTCAAGTCTGAAAAGTCTTATCTTTCATCACTGCCTATTGCATTGATGTTACAAGCAGTGCCTGCACAAATATTGCTATAATCCATATTTATCTATGCTGTATTGGATCACAGAATCACAGAATAATGTAATGGCAAGGATTGAAAAGGATCTCAAAGATCATCTAGTTTCAACCCCCTGCTATGGGTAGGGTCACTAGCCACTAGACCAGGCTGTCCTGGGACAGAAGAGTGAATTCTTCAGTCCATTCTTACATTTTCTCAAATTGCAGGCTTGAGATTTTTCTTCTAAAAACAACATCAAACAATAACTATCATTGCAAACATGCCAATCTTGCATAAGAACTTAAGAAAATTTTAAATATTTTGTAGGAGGTGACAACTTTGATCTGTTGTGAAAGATGGGATGTTGTATGTAATTGCAGTATGAAAAGAGAAAATTTATTCAGTGAAGAATAATTTGCTGTTAGTTTTTCTTGTAAGACCTTTAAAATTACATTAAGAATCCTCCCTATATGAAACAACTGTAACACACATAAATTAAGGACAATTTTGAGCATATGTATTGGCACATGTATTGCAGCTGCAATGCACTTTACATTGGATGTAACCCACATAGCTATGTACCAGCATACACAGCTGATATTAAAATAATGAAGTTTATCTTAAAAGCACTGTTTAAAAATATTATTGAAGTTGATTTTTTTTTGTTAGTGTCTAGATATGCAAAAGAATGATTTTAAAATTCTGAAACTCTGTTCTATTTTGGCTTCATTGGAAGATTTGGAGTACTTATTTATGATTCAAAGTAAGGAACGTAGTAGGAATATTATCCAGAAAAATAGAATTTATAAACTCAGTGAACTAATGCTTATGTATATAACAGTAAGAAAAATGAACTAATAAGTCACCAAAGCAATTTTGTTTCCTTTGTCTTAGTAGTATTATGAGGAAGAATAGATCTTGAAATTCCTTTAGAACTATAAGTAAAGAACATAAATTTATAGTTTTCTGAAAACAGGTCGTTTAAATATTTTGACTTCTTCCTTCACTAATATATTTATTTATAAGCTGTAATTCTTGCTGAAATTTATAATCCCATTTGGAGCCGATTAGTATGCTTTTAATGTATTCATTCTGAATTTAATTGTTCTTCTGAATAAAATGTACTGTATGTTGAATGTAAAATATTTGGTAAAATTAGAATATTGAATTTTTAAGTTTTCTTTGTTTTTAAGCTCAACTTTTGCTAAGAGCAACCCTTTTTTTTTGCACAGCAAGCAATAAAGGAGAATATAAGAAGGAGAGAAGCAGAAGAAAAGCAGAGACGTGCTAAAATAGCTAAGGAGAAAGCAGAAAAAGAAAAACAAGAGAGGCAACAAAAGAAAAAGCGTTTGTTAGAAATGAAAACAGGTGAGTAATGTAAAAAGGTAAGGTTGGTGTGAAGGTTGGTATACCCTGAATCACAAATAAGTTCAGTTATGCTGAGAACTTGTTGTGTTATCTGAAAATAAATATTCTCCAAGTCATAAAGCCATTTTTATTTCTTTTAACTAGGATTACATATTCATTTTGTTCTTTTAAGAGACTGTCTGGTCTGAAGTACTATGGATTCTTCTTTGAATATGTCAGTTGTTATTCCACCAGGTCCCTATTGAAACACCTTCAAAGTAACCTCATCCATGCATTTTTAAAGTTATTCATTTATTCTGTGTTGTCTTTTCTACCAAGAGACTACAGACACTGTAAATTCCCGGTTAGTAAGAAAGATCTCTGATGATTCTCTATTCTGCTATATTTTATCTTAGACTGAGCTTCTGGAATCCTTCAGAATGATATACGACTTTCAGTGTAAATTATCATGAGCTACTTTCATTTTTTCTGAGCAGATCTTGTTACGCAGTTCCCCACTCAATCCTTGGTTCACACCTTTGGAATAAATGATTAGCCGTCTCTTCCACGTTTCACTAATATCCAGAGTAGATGTGTGCCTTGAGGTGTGATACTCAAGTTTTCTATTAAGATAGAAATCAAGAGACTCTCCTCAAAACAAAGAAATGTAAATTTTTTAGAAGTAAATGTGACACTCTTTTAAAGTTCAAAGAATGTAGTATTGAAGACTTGAAAGAGGGTAAAAATAGTGGCTGCATTCTTGCATGTTTGGAAGCGTTTCAAAAAAATTAGTTATTCTTCTCTAAGACGTTGTAAGAATGACTGGTAGTGCTTTGGATATACAATTGATAGTCCTTTGGGGAAAACTAAAGTTCCTCACAGTTTCGTTTTTCCTGTATTTGTGTTGAAACTTTCTGTGAAACAGGTTCCAGCATTACAAACTTCTGAGTCACGTGCCCACATGTGTATGTGGGCCTCTGGTAGCTAAACCCACTCCTTCAACTATGTGGCTGTGAACTATATGTATTTGTCATCCAGAAATCATCTAAATCATTGAGTAAATAGCTACTTTGTTTGTTAGTAGATTGTTTTCGTTTGTTTGTTTTAATTGATCACATTAATGTACAGAAAGATTTCTTTCCCTTGTTAGCAGCTACATAAGGCCCTCATCAAATGGGAAAAGAGAACGTTGGAGTCACCTGAAACTATAAATGTATTGGATCTGATATTTGCTAAATTGGCCACTGCTGCTGTTGGTTTCTTTTTGTTGTTGTTGTTCTGCAGAGCTCTTTATAAGGTTTTTTGTGCTTGTCAGTTTGAATTGTCATTTTAAAAGTCTATTAGAAAACCCAAATTCTGGCAGTGGAAAGCACTTAAGGTAGATTTATTTGTCAAAAAAGTACTGCAACAATGATATGAAAAGTGGAAGCTTTGGGGGAAGGGGAGGTTGTTTATTTTTCTACTTTGGCAGTTTTATTGCAACCATATTTACTAAGAAGAATAGCAAAGACTTTCAAAAAAACCACAAAAATTACTTTTTTCCCGCTGTTTTCCTTCCCACAGCTTGTTCACTGAAAGACCAAGTCTTCTCTTTAAGAATCTGTGAATCAGTTAAAAAATGTTTACATCTGACCTTCTGGCAAACATTTAACCAGACCCTCCCTCTGTCCAAATACATAAGCACTAATATCTAAGGGTGACAATGTGGAGTAACTGATTTTCTGCTACATTTCACTTCTTTATAGGGTTTCTAGATCAGATATTGGATTTGTAGGGACATTATTTCAAATGTTGTGTGAATGAAGCCACTCAAAATTCCTTGATGTCACCATCCCAGAAAACATTTTATTCCATTTAATCAGATGCATACTTGAGAATAGTCTATATGTACTGACTGATTCTATAAGGCATTTTTTAAACTGGACAGATCACAGTGTACTCTGCATCTCTACTTTCAGTTTTCAGTAACATCTTGTTTTAACTGCAAATGACATGAAGGTTAAGCATGCCTCTGTATCACTGTCCTGTATGCCACTTCTGATTTAACATTTTCTCTTACACTTTCAAACAGAACTTTATTAGATTGATGCTTATTCTTAAATATTGCATTTCATTATCACTTCAAATTATTTTTTACTTTCCATCACTATCAGTACGTATTCAAGCAGTCAGTCCTTAGTATTTGTACCCTAAATCTGATGTGAGTTAAAAAAAAAAAAAAAAAGCCAAAAACATAGGGCTACTTTTGTATTGCTAGTAGTGATAAGCTACCATTGATTGCTAGCAAAGTGACGTGAACAAATTTGAGAGCCCTTCAGCAAGAGAAGACAGAATTGAATTTATTTTTTTTCTCTCTTCTGTTTTCTTTTTCTCTCCTTACTCATGCTCTAACAAGGTGGCTTAGTTTCTAGACACTTTCCAACCCTTTTTCTGTTATTCTTAAATTACATGATGTATAGTCCTTTAGAGAGCACATTCCTAGGGTGTAGCAGTGCCTTCAGCTGATATTTTTTTTCTTAGCTGCCAATTCTTTTCTTAAATATTAGAGCAGTCTTTTCTATAACTTGCTTTAAGTTGTGCATTTTTTCAGTGACTATTAGTTGACAAATAGTGACTACAGTGTGTTTACATTTTTGGAGCTCCAGCTTTCAGAGTGTATCCATTAATTCAAGGCCTGAACTGCTATCCAGTGCTTAAACTGGGTTTATTTCATCACACTGAACTTCTTTTGTTAACCACTGCTCTTTTTTACAACATAGATGCTTAAGTCTAGATTCTCTTTTGTTCTTGAAGTCCCTTTCTTTGGATTGCTTCATCTCTCACCTGCTTTTGAGATTTATTTGAAGAGTAAGGTTGTCTTGTCTATGGTGTCACCAGATGCATGAGGCAATTTATGTCTTGAATAAGTGACTTATATAATGCTTTAAAAAAAAAGTTAGCTATTTGGGGAATATTACTGACTTTTTTTTTTACTTCAGATAAACCTAGGATCTTAACTATATAAGAAAAATATGGATTTTACCTAACTTATACTTTAATTGAACAGTAAGTTGTATACAGCATACTAGGACTGTATCCACCAGTCACATACCAGGTTTGTCTAGCACTACATAGATTGTATATTAACTTAAAAGGAACGTGATCCCAAATTTAAGACAACTTCTGATTTGTAAGTTATGGGTGAATACAATCATTTCATCATTAGTAAGTGACGCAATTCAAACATGAGAACTGAGGTGGTCCTACAGTAGACCAGCCGTCTCCTGAACTTTAATAGTCTTCTTAGCCTTTGTTCTGCTTTTGATATAAAAATGATTACTTTGACATGTAGATTGCAACTTACATGCTGTCATTCATACTTCTGGATCAGACTGCCTTTGGAATATGTTACACCAAGTTCAGCATTTATGCAGTCGTTTTTAAAATTATGTAAATACGCATAGTGTGTGATACATCTTCATAAAGCTTTTGCTTTCATTTTTTTTTTTATATTTAAGCTATAAGTATATTCATATTTTCTAAATTGTAAAATATGTTTGGGATCTTATGAATATTTTGAAAAAATTTAAACTTTGTAATCTAAATTCAAATTTCTGCTAATAGGACCGTAGATTTTTGTTATCTATGTGGAATTGCATGATTTATTCTCTTGCAAGTTTTTCTGTGTGTGTGTGTGAGTGTGTATTTTTGAAACTTAACCCAATGCCATATCCAAAGCCATGTAAACTGTAGTTTGCTAACAGTCTGCGTCTCTACATCTTAGATAGTAACACTGCTGTGGCCTAATGATCACAGCTCAAATGCTTCCCTGTTATAATAGGCTGAAGCTTAAATTCACATAATATGGACGTAAGTTTCAGATATTCCTCTGAGTTTCAACCTAACTTGAAAGCCAATGGAACTCAGTAAAAATTCTTTACTTTACTTGCATCTGTGAAGACAGTCTAAACTATCACATACTATGGTTACAAAGGTAAATAACTTGTAGAAGGGGATCTTTATGTAAATATCACTTGTCTTTATACTATTAACATTCAGATACGTGCTTTCTTGTGTTGTTCAGATTCTCAGCAGAAAACACATCAATCAATTATTTTGATCTTATCACAGTGTAAAGAATCCTATAACTGTGATAACACCAGCAAAATTTATTGTAATATAATTGAGAACTCCATCATTGTGGCATCTTCATCGTGTCTTTCCTTGAATACTATTTAAACAACAAGCCACACTTTAGTCAGTGGATATTTACAAAGCATGCCCTTCCTTATGCTAAAACAGTGAAGTGATGTCAAAATGATTTCTTAACATTCTATACGGGAAATCTGATGTTTAGTTTGTTTTCATTGCTGTTTCTCAGTTTCACTTTTACCACAAAAAAATGGGTTTAAATCCATATTTCAGCTGATTTAGAAAGTTATAGCTTAATTTGAAGTCAGTTTTGCAGCATTCCTTTTTGCAGAGCTGTCTGTATTGTTTACATGGTTTGGGGAAAAAGGGGAGTCACATGTTTCACAGATTTGCTGGAAGTGTTTTATGCTTTGATTCTTCTTTATTACTGTCAGCTACATTGTGAAATATGAATATTTTCATTAGTTGAGAAGTGCTCTGCAAAGCAAAAAGGCACTGAGTATCCCAGCACTGATAGTTTAAACAATGAAAACTGTAAACATAATTAATTAGAATTCTGATTCCATCAGATAAAACTAAACAACAGCAACACTCCCTCTGTTAATAGGTGCCCTCAAAGACCCTATTTTCCCCATCCAGTCTAAGTTCATAAGGCTTCCATTTTGTTAATTTCATCTCGCTGGGAATGGAGAATCAATAGTTCTTAATGTGATCCTTCCCTCAGAGGGGAGTGAAAGATCACACATATTGCATATTATGAAAATCAGTTTCTGATCCATAACAATTGAAAGGTCATCAGTGATTTCTAACATATGTTAATAATCTGTTGTCTGTAGGGTGATTTTCTACAAAATCTCAAGTTCTGGCCAACTGTAGGATTATTGCTAGAT